AATTCATCTTTTTGGAATACGAAACCAGGATTTTTTCCATTTTTTTTACACCTTTGGAAAACTCAAAGCAATGAGCTATTATACATTTTTATTTCCGAATGTTTCGTTCACAAAAATTATACAGGGTGTCCCTAGACCAGTGGGACAGTTGAATATCTCCTAAACCAATAGGAATTTTCAAAATATTATAATTTCACATCATATCGCATTATGAGTGCTAACTTCAGGAATGACTATATTTTATACGAGGTGCGCAAGAAAGGCTCACTAAATCGAACATCAATTTTTTCAAATGGAACACCCTGTATTTCATTGCATTTTCATATTCTCCTTGAAAAGCTGAATTCACCGACCTAGCACACTTGGGGTCTAGCGGGAATGATTTCCGAGATATAAGTTGTGGAAAATCGAGATATTTCATTTTTGGGAATTTTTTGTGTGGAAACTATTCATTATTGGTCAAAACGGCTTACATGTCCATATCTTAACTTTTAATTCACTATTCACTGGTATTTAATTGAAACTAATACAGGGTGGTGTAGAATTCTGACTGAAACTGTTAATTCTACACCACCCTGTATTTGTTTCAATTAAATACGAGTAAATAGTAAATCAAAAGTTAAGATATGGACATGTAAGCCGTTTTGACCAATAATGAATAGTTTCGACACAACAAATTCCCAAAAATGAAAAATCTCGATTTTCCACACCCTATAATTATCTCGGAAATCATTCTTGCTAGACCCCAAGTGTGTCAGGTCGTTGAACTCAGCTCTTCAAGGAGAATATGAAAATGCAATGGAATACATGGTGTTCCATTTGAAAAAATTGATGTTCGATTTTGTGAGCCTTTCTTGCGCACCTCGTATAAAATATAGTCATTCCTGAAGTTAGCACTCATAATGCGATATGATGTGGAATTATAATATTTTGAAAATTCCTATTGGTTCAGGAGATATTCAACTGTCCCACTGGTCTAGGGACACCCTGTATATTATTAAATATTGATAGATTAAAAATACTCGAAAGAAAGATTATATTTGAACGCTCTAAAACAAAGAAAATAAAATGTTCCTTTCGAATTTCAACTATACACACATTTCCCAAAGAATCAAGTGAAATGATGTACCGCACCTCCTCGATTATAACCTACAGACAGAAATCATTAAACACAATTTATATGATCATTAAAGCTTTTTAAATTGAAATTTCAGCAGATTTGACATAATTAAATTAGTACTAGTTCATTTACACAAGTGAATTGCTGAGTTTGAATTTTTAAAATTTCAATTCGATCAAATATTGATCATCGCGACAAGCTTTTATTATCATATAAATTGTTTATTATGAGGTTAGGTTCTCTGTGACGGGAAGAAAGTTTGAAATTTCATCTTTGTTGACAGTTTATAAAATGTCAATTTTCATTAATTACTTTTTTCCCGGAATATAGTCCTTCTTCCTTCTATCTTCCATTCGACTTCGCGGTTTCGTAAACAACCACTAAGTTCGCAATTTTACGAAATCAAATCACAGAATTAGACTGAAAGATATTTGATTTTTTCAAAAGAATGATGAAGATGCCCTGTAAGAAGATGCCTGCAACGCAGGTGTCAATCCTGTTTGAAATTTCAAATTTCACGTAGATAAATTTCTGATTTTAATATAATGTGATATCTTCTCGATATTGATTCTTCCTTCTTTTGTCACAGAAAAAAATAGTGTATTATACACGGCAAAAATATTAGATTTAAGCTCACGGTTTCTTGTCTCCCTCCGCTAACAAAACCTGGAGCTAAATTCTACAACTTTTTTCGCTTGTATAATAAAAAACTATTTTGGAGTTTTTTTTTACTTTTAATTTGTTTTTTACTTTTTGGTTATCGCTGACTTCACACACCTTATTGTATTGTCATACAAACTAAAAGTGTACCTATATAAAATATTTCAGCTCAACCGGTTGAAGATATCTATCTACTTCAAAATTGAGTTCAAAGATTCCACCCGAACTAACTAGTCAAAAATGTGTGCCAATCACTCCAGATCATCTTTGGGAAATGATCCAGAACCAGTTCCTGTTCTGAAGAAAACAAAATTATTCCAAAAGTTTTTTCCATTATTTTTATTTTCCTTCGAATATTTTAAGTTCTAACTATTTTGAATAAGTTGCACAATTCCCGCCAAAGTTGTAAAATTCTTGCCAAAGTTGTATAAATTGACAACTGACATTAGTACTAGTGGAATTTTCCCAAGAACAACACTGGAGAACACTGGAATAGAACGATATTGGTCTTCTAGGTCATTGAGTTCTGTGGTATATCTCCGAAGAACGAAAATATTCTGAATTTTACAAGATTCAGAACGGCATTTTGTTAGGCATAAAATTGTGCAACTTTGCCATAATTTAATCGACCCCTGTATCTCTTACGGTTCATACGAGGTCCCAATGATGATGCTCGAATACATGTACAACACTATGAAGATGATCTCGATAAGATCGCAGACATCATCATACCGTGACACAGTTACATTCGCAAATATTGCATTGGCCTTTATGAATAAAACAAAACTTAACGATTTCGAAAGACATTCTTCCGTCTGATAGGAATCAATCATTGAATGAATTATTAGTTGAAACCCAACATTCCGATTTTCGAGATTCGTTATATTTCATTAAGAAAGAATAGAAAAATTGATCATGATAGGTACAGTGTGTACTTTCACCTTTCAGCTGATATATTATGTATTATTGTCGGGATGGATTTTTGAATACTAATGAGGTTGTACGCACTAGTCTCATCTACGCCTCATATTGATCATTCCGAGTATAGGTACATATAATATTTAATGCAATCATTCGATATTTAAAATCATCACAAATACTTTCTTCAATAATCAAAATCGGCACCTTCGAAAAACGCCGTCATTCTCTCGTCATGAACCGTCTCGCACCAATAGTGATATTTGTCGAGATTTTATTCAAACCCAAACTATCTTGTCACCCTAGCAACAACATAATGCTGAAAGTTCACAGAAATATCAAGAGAAAAAAAATTAAGCTAACTTCATTGCGTCTATCACGTTTTACACTTATATCTTCAAATCCTATCCTCTAGTCAATTCTAACAAATACAAATATTGCGAATATTCAAATATAATCCTCAGATTATCTGGTTCTTCAGTTGTGAGTTGATTCTCTGTTATCTGTAGGAAGTATTCCGACGTGGTTACCACTAAGGTTCACGAAATGTCATATCTAAAATATAATGAAATGCCTTGAAATCCCTTGAGATGTCATGAAATATCTTGAAATGCCATGAAATGCCTTGAAATGCTCTGAAATATTTTGAAATGACATTAAATCAAATGGAATGCAATTTCTGAAATACCATGAAATGCCTTGAAATCCTTGAAATACTTTGAAATTCATTGAAATGTCATGAAATTCCTTGAAATGCCATAAATACCTTGAAATGCAATAAAATGCCTTGAATACATGCTTTGAATTATTTCGAAATGACATGCCATTTCTGAAATAGCATGAAATGTCGTGAAATCCTTGAAACACCTTGAAATTCCTTGAAATATTTTGAAATTACGTGAAATGAACTGAAATGCTATAGGGAAATGGTAAGAAGTGTTCGAAAATCCTAGGAATGCTTCGAAATACCTCAAAAGTTTTGAAATGAAATACTTGAAATATCACAAAATGGTTTGAAATGCTATTGTAGTGAAATGTCACGAAACGACTTGGAAATGCATTTGAATGGGTTGAAATGTAATAAACGTCAGAATAAAATGCTCCAGATACCTACCAATCATGTATGGAAATGGATGGAATTCATTTCGAAATGCTTACGAAATGCATGAAATGCGGAAATGCTTGAAACACTTTTTACTATAGTGGTTACCCCCTCGAAGTATTCAGTTAAGAAAATTCATTTAATATTTTGATAAAAATGACAATCAGAAATATTCTTGCCCTTGTCTTACATGAATAGAGAATAGATACCAACGTAAGTCGAATCTGTTGTCACATGTTTTCCTGCGTTCTCCATGTTATGAAATATCGTGTAGTCCAATAATAATTATTAAAAAATGTACTGAGAAATTTCTATGTTAGAATTGGGATCAAAAGAGTGTTTGTCATTGATAATATGCTTAGGAAAAACAGAATTGGACTCGAAAAAATCTTTTTCAAAATTATTTTCTATAATACGATTGTGTTTTGAAACTCTGGTTTTGAACTTGCGACCTGTTTGACCAGCGTAGCACACTTTACAATCATCGTTTCAACAATTTAATTTGTGAACACCAGATTTTTCTAGAATATCAATCTCATCTTTTGTGTTGACTAAGGCACTCCCTGTATTGGCGGTTTTAAAAGAAAAATAAAAATTACTGATATTATTGGTATTGAGTTTTTTTTTCCAGAATCTTCCTGAGTTCGAGGGAAACAGGACCAAAGGAAGAAAGGGAAACAGATTCTAATGTTGAAACAGACGTGGTTAAAAAGTTATTCAAGTAAAGTGATCAATTAAATGAATAGGAAAATTATTATTAACTGCGACTTGTTTAATGATATTCAATTCAGCTTCAAAGTTGTCATTGTCTGACGGTATTTTGAAAAGTCTATGAAATTATTATTACTTCTAAAGACCCATTGATATACAAAATGTGGCAACGTTGGATAGCAATATTCAGTTGGTTGTGCTTTGGCATAATGGCAATAATGGCATACAACGTCAGTCTGTCTCATTAGGTGGCCTAGAGATAAAGGTTCAACGTTCGCATTACCATAGATTGAAAATTCTATGGCATTACTTTGTATAATAAATGGAAAAAAGATAATCGATCACCTGGAATAGTACTTTAATGTCATTTTCGATAACGTTCATTAATACAAGTCGTCTCAAATTAAGATACTTAATTGAAGAAGCGATATAGACAACACTTAGAAATCCTCCATTACGAACAACTTGTCGGAAAAATAATCAATTTACCTTGAAATTGTTTTGTAATCCTGATTCGAAAATCACATATTGGAAATAAGCGAACAAACATTCAATATTTCGTATCATTTATGAACCATTTTGTAGTTGAGTTATATAAAGGGTACCCTAAATTAACTTGGCCAATATTTCAGAAAATAAAAGTAAGTTCTGAAATGAATCGTGTTTTATAACGTTATATAACTTTCTCAATATTTTTTCTGAAGAAAAATGCAACTTATTGAAATAAGATAATAAAAGGGTGATGTAATTTCTTCAAGAGACTCCAAATTTAAATATCTTCAACTTGAAAAAGTTCAAGACTCTGATTCTGATTCGGATTCTGATCACCCTTTGTATCTGTTTCAATTAAATGTCAGTAGATAGTAAATCAAGAGTGAAGATAGAAACATTATAGCGGTTTTGATCGATAATGGATAGTTTCGATACAAAAAAATCCTGAAGTTGAAAAATCTAGATTTTAAACACCCTATACCTATGTAATCATTCCCGCTAGACCCCAATAAGTGTGATAGATCGATGGAATCAACTCTTCAAGGAGAATCTGAAAATCCAGGGTGTTTAATTCAAAATAAAGAAGTTCGTGTCTTTCCTTTATATTGTACTTATGTTCCTTCGTCCTTACTGAAAGAGGTCTAACATCGACAAATCGAAACTAGCTGAACATATCCTTACTGAAGACAGACAACATATGGCAGAGTGGAATAATATTAAAATCATTGGAAAAGAAGATAACAACCAGAAGAGAAAAATCAAGGAATCTGCTTGCATTCTTCTAAACGGAGACAATAGCATTGCTTTTTATTCAGTTGATGAGTTGATATAGATAGAACATGGTATTCACTACTAAAAGCTGAAAATGGAAATGGTAAATTCAAGATTAATTAATGAAAACATCCTGTAACTCATTTGATTACCAACGTCAACCATTGTCACTGAGAACTGAAAAGTTTCGAGACAGATACGAATATGCTATTCAAATAACCATTTTATATGTTGAAAACGCGAGTGAAAACGGGAGCAGATTCGTTCCCGAAACGTCCAAACCTAAGTGAAAATTTGATATTTTTTTTTTATATATCTTTATTTCTCTTCTCCAAGCCGTTTTCAATATAAATTGTCACTGACAAGCTAGTGAATTTTTCATTTAGGCTCTCTGATAGGAAAATTCTTTAAACGCAGTGACATTTTGGGGCAAATCATCTGATTTGTTCTTACTACACGTATATTGAAATAATATTCATATTTTTATTTTATAGAAACGAGGAGAGAAAGAAAAGATCAACCTACAGACAGTAGAGACTTCTCTAATTGGTTCAAAATAAATTTATGAAATTTTCATAGAAATATTTTATTAATATCAAAAGTTTTAGAGCATGTAAAGTTTAGTACGAGCCAAATTTGAAAATGTTCACTAATTTTCTCTGATTTCAGGATACCCTGTATAATCGCAAACCATGAAACAAAACAGAAAAAATTGGCGACATAACTTTTATCATTACGGAAGTGAACAGGCAGCTTAATTGTTATAAAACTTAATTTCTCTTTATGTATAAAGTATGTCCCACTTTCCTTAAGTGAACTACGATCATTTAATAATAATGACAGAGTTTCAGAAATCCACAAAAGCCAATGGCCGATTGAAAGGGAACTTTCTATACAGAAAAAATGCACCCAATTCTATTACACAGACAGACGTGTTGGAATTTGCACCGAAACATCGATTAGACATACACGGTGGTTCAAAACCTGACACAACACTTATTGTGATCCGAGAACAAAGAATGTTAATATGCAATAGTTTTGCACTATAGATATATTTGATTTCTTGAATTTTCCCACTCTGTTCAGATAAAAAGTTGAAATACATTGTGATTATTTTTTTGTCTCTGGTTTGCCCTGTAGAATTAATGATACGTTGTTCTGGGACACCTTGTATAATCACCTGTACAAACAAAGAATGTGATTGTTTCTTCCAGACTTTCCACTGATTTTTGATGGATACCCTCGCCTTTGTTTATGTATTAAGAATAATTGTTATACCGAAGTTTTCTTCTAGAATCGATTCCTTTGCATTATCAATAATAATTTATTATAAAAGTAACAGGTTTTTTAAGTGCAAGGTTATATACAAGCAGGCTGAGGCAGGGTCGGATTGGAACTCACTCTGTGATGGTCGTAGATAAAGTACCATAGTTTATTGAAAAATATATACTATTATTCATCACGATACACAACTTTTATTTCTATGAATGTTGGTTACGTCAAACTCTCAGGCACATATGAATCACATCAGGATGGTATGGTAAGGTATGAAATCATATTCAACTGAGCTGCCCCAAAAAAAATACCTATTGATTAACTGGCGATTTCTTGTGGAAAATACGAGGAAAAATATCAATATTCAATTATCTCTCAATTCAGGTCATTGTGTGTACGGAGCCAAAATGAGTGAAAGGAAGGAAAGGCAATCTGATATTGTGGTTGTTGCATTGAAATATCCTGTTGATTATGTTGGCTACAAGAAACGTCTACTGAACAAACTAAACAGATATCCAAGAAGTCAACCATTTTCAATCACATAATATATTCATTGTTACCTATCTGTTATCATCTTGATATTTGTTGCTTTTGGGTGTATGATAAATTGACATTCATCATACACGGCGTGGAAAGAAATTCCACTCTATCACGAATCTGCGATTCTTGTAACGTTGGTTACGGGCCATGCATTACAGAGGAGAAATGATCTGATGTTTTTGCAAGAACATGTTTCAATTGTGTTTTCTCACGCACATTCTTGAGTACTGAGAGCGAGAGAAATATGGACGCATCCAGAATGAATTGTTTTTCTGAGAACAAGTTGATTTTCATTCAATTCTCCTCCCAACCGAGATTCGGAGGGCGTTCCAGATTTGGGTCACTTTCAAGAAAACTCTAGATCTTTGAGTCATCTTGAGTCAATTCTGATATTCGGATCTCTTCATCTGAAGTTTTATCTTCAAAATGAGCCTAAGATTTCCAAAATCGGTTGACGTGGATAAAAGTTATGGCTGCAAAACCAAAAAGTTGATTTTTTGAGATCACTCTGTTAATAAGAGAGATGAAAAGTTGATTCGCGAAATATCTCGAGGTAATGAGATCATCTTCATGCCTCTGTTGTCGAAGTTGAGAAAAAAATTTTTTCATCATTTGAGAGCCTTTTGAATATTCCGAAATTTTGCACAGTGTCGGAAAACACCATGTAGAGATTTTATGTGAATACCCTTATGTTTCAATGAAGTACCAGATTATAGCTGAAGGACTGGGCTATCGAACAGTGTGAACCAAATTCAAATTGTTCTAAACTGAAAAAAGTTATTCACATTATAACAGGGGCGACATTTTGGTGTGCGACGAAATTAGTGTTGAGTAGTTTATACCAAGTTATTGAATCCCTATTCGAGAATTGTTGCCAAGTCCATATTTATGTTGTCAACATTTCTTCCTCGTTCGTTTCTGATTTGCCTGGCTGGTATTGGAGCCCTGGTAGAGAAGGCAGTATGGTGGGTACTATCATCCGCGAAGCTGTGTACTGGACATGAAGCTTGTTGAAGCTTTGAGGTTGGACCATACTGACAGCTTTCTTATTATTATTATTTTGTGGTACGTAGCAGCGTGGAAGGAAATGGGTCAAGAAACTTATATCATGGACAAATATTCCCAAATGTCACTAGATCTAGATAATAAGTCATAGTCTGCTTCATTGATGAAATGATTTGAATAATTTGAATTGCCATTTTCGAGGCCATTTTAGACCACAGGATACTAGGTAGTTGAATAATAATTCTAAGATAATTCGTTCGAGGGAATCTTCTTTTCTCATAAATGTCTTAGACTGATGTTACCAATCACTTCAATTGTTTCTATTATTAAATCTTTCTATTGAGCACATTTTTGAATATGCGAAATATTATATATGGCACCTGTTCTCCAAACAAGGAGTGCCTACTATTTTCAAACAAGACCGGATATTTTCACATTCTCTACATTGCCAGTCCGTCACTGGTCTGATGCAAAAATTGGTTGTGCTATTGCTCAAACATTCTTGAACGTTTGTATAATATGATTACGTATATACGTTCATTAAGTAATTTCATTTCAATCATTAATTCATTTATTGACTAGACAATAAACGCTCATGTCGATGAATTAATGAAGCAAAAGTGTCAGTCGAAAACGGGATAATGAATATACTATATGTATATCTATTCGGTATGAATTTCATTTATGCGCACAACTTAAAGTTATGAGAAAACTTTGTACCGAGTGTAACTGAGCGTCAGGTATTCAGGTAATCACCTTTTTGTGATTATAACAGGGTGTTCTATCAATGTACTTATTGAATGAAACACATTTCGATGTTTAATTCGATTTGACAGAAGCTTGTTCATCAAATTCATTGGTTCACATTACGAATTATACATAAGAGAGATAACTGATAGTGTAATTCAAAATTCAAAATTATTGGCAAATTGAAAATCTGAATGAATAAAATTGACTTCATCAAGTCAAATTATTGATATACATGTCAAAATATCTACGGAATGATTCTGATTGATCTACCGTTACCGTTTCAATACTGAACATGTTGGTGAGTTATATTTTTATATCATAATACATCATATTATTTCAATTCTCAATTTTAGAGGAATTTCATTTTTCATTATCTCTTTTGGATGTTCAACAGATATAATTCAATGTTCGACGTGGCAAATAGCCAGGAAAGTAGTTGTTTCCTGTTGAATATTCAGAATAATATTATGTGCATATACAAATCTCGACATAATCTTCATATGGATAAGGAGAATGCAAATTTTCTACTTCAGAAGACTTTGTTTTCAAATTCTTATCGTGTGTGTTCAATAGATATAATTCAATGTTCGTCGTGGCATATCGCCAGGAAAGTAGTTGTTTTCTGTTGAATAAACCGAGAATGAATTGATATTTTCATCACATAGAGAATGCGAAT